AAGTATCAATTAAATGAGTAATCTACATTAAAATTATGTATTAAAAGAGATTAATAATATTGATATGACTGTCAATTTGTGTATTATAAATCGTAAATAGGAGTACTATGGAGTAGTCTCCTGTCCCTGCTTGTAAGTGCAGGGAATATTGAATTATAATTCTTCAACATTTAAAATATGATTTGTTTGGATTTAACAGGAAATCCGAGATCGAATACTACGCGATGTTGGCAAAAACTGGTGTACATCATTATACCGGGAATAATATCGAGCTAGGTACAGCCTGCGGTAAATATTTTCGTGTTTGTACGCTTTCGATCACAGATCCTGGCAATTCTGACATTATAAAGTCAATGCCGACTGGCGATCAAGCATAATGTACATTTTTAATTTAATAAAAAATACGAAACAATTTTGACAAATTATTTTTTATTTAATTCTGCCCTTAATGTACATATTTGTATGTATACATACAAGAGAGAAACCTGAGAGGTAACGCGAGAGCCTTTTTCCTGTAACCGCAAAATGTCGCCGCACACTACTGTCCTCTGAAGAAATGGATGTAAACTGCACAACAATATCCATTTTTTTGCGGTGCTCCTGATGAAAATGAATTGCTGAAATAATTACAATCTATCAAATTACTAGAGATTCAGGTTTCTCTCTGTATTCATAATCAGATCTTATATTTAAAATCGTCTTAAGTATAATACAATCTTAAAATGTGAACTAATCGAACAGCCACATTAGCATCTTAGGACATTACTTAAGATCTTAAAATAAGAATCGACTGAATACCGAAATGAATTCCGACCTTAATGCATATTGTACACTGGATGCGATGAGAGATGAGCGATGATATCCAATAAGAATTCTACTTTGTATCGGTACGTACAAGCAGAGCTTTCACGATAGCTGATATGTAATATAAGAAATTTATTTGTTAATACTTTTAAAATATTTAATTTTAATTATATTGTTGAGAAAGAAATTAAAAAAAAAACAAATATAGGTATTCAAATATAGTATGGGAATTTCTGAAACATGGTGGATCACAAATCAATGCGTTACTTTATTATAATACAATTTGCAATTTGAATAAAGTTGGAATTCTTCTAATTGTAAGCAAACTACATTTAATTTAAAGTTGTAAAAAAATTTAAATAAATAAAAACGAATTGACTTGTATAAGAGGCCTTCCATCATCCCTGCCAATTTTATCGCAAAGTAGCGTAGTGGAGCATCATTCGCGGAGTGTGATTACCCATTTTTTACAGTAATTTGGATCCACTTTGTCAGGGGGCAGTAGTGCGCGGCAGCATTTTGCGAGTCCCAGGACATCTAAGATTTGAGGTTAGGTTCTCTCTGATTCCAGCATGGTCGGATGGTAGTAGTTGTTTCATCTCCATCTCGTGTTTGTCATATTATTGTTCCTACAGCGTAGTCGGAGGTAAATTTTGATGCAATTTTTTGTGAATTAATCCCGGTTGTACTAACGTTATGTTGATTTTAAGCGAGGCTTAAAACTATCTTTCCTTCTCTCTAGAGAGAAAAGGATATCTCCAATATGTATGCAAGTTAAAAGACAGTATATGTGCTTTCAATGAGGTTATTGCCTCTGGTCCTTCGGTGTGCTATATGTACTCTGATTATATCAAATTATAATTTATCGCGGTAACTGCTTCGGTAAAGACAATACTTAAACGAATATTTGTTCAGGTTAATATTATACAAGTGAAATTATTTCCTAGATATTTAATATTATTTTCTCTGTAACAATATTAAATATGACAAATATAATTATACACAGTACTATTGTAGAAAATTACAAAAATTATACTAGTTTTAATGTGTTAATAAAATATATCCAAATTATTCAAGTAATAACTTCTTTTTCAGAAAGAATTAATTCTATGTGAGTATAAAAATTCATATAGAAAAATGCCACAGAACGAATATATTGAGAGGCACCGTAAGCTCTATGGTCGCCGTTTGGACTATGAGGAAAGAAAGAGGAAGAGAGAGGCTCGTGCTCCTCACAAACGAGCAGAGCAAGCCCGTACTTTGCGTGGTTTAAAAGCTAAAATGTTCAACAAAGAACGACGCAATGAGAAGATTCAAATGAAAAAGAAGATTAGAGCTCATGAAGAGAAGAAAGTAAAGGTGAAGTCTGACAAGCTGCCGGAAGGAGCATTGCCTGTATATCTGCTGGATCGTGATGTTACAAAACGCGCGAAAGTGCTATCGAATATGATAAAACAGAAACGAAAGGAGAAAGTTGGCAAGTGGGATGTTCCAATACCTAAAGTTAGAGCGCAATCAGAAAGTGAAGTTTTCAAAGTAGTGAGAAGCGGGAAGACGAAACGAAAATCATGGAAGCGGATGGTGACTAAAGTGACCTTTGTAGGAGAGAATTTTACAAGGAAACCACCGAAATTTGAAAGATTCATCAGACCGATGGCATTGAGATTCAAAACTGCACATGTAACTCATCCTGAGCTCAAGGCAACTTTCTCGCTGCCGATCATTGGTGTTAAAAAAAATCCGAGCTCTCCTATGTACACACATTTAGGTGTTATTACCAAGGGAACTATTATTGAAGTAAATATTTCAGAATTAGGTCTTGTAACACAATCGGGTAAAGTTGTATGGGGAAAATTTGCTCAAGTTACGAATAATCCTGAGAATGATGGATGTATCAATGCTGTTTTGCTTGTATAAATTTGTATTATAATTCCAAATTATGATTTTATTGATAATTTTTGAAATAATATTTTATTGTATGTACAATAACAACAATAATTCACAACAATTTATATTAAAAATACAATATAATAATTAGGAAGGACATATAAGAGTCAGCATATAACACAGTATTATAGTAATAATGAGGAACGACAATATAATCAGATACTAATATACAATAATCAAATATTTAGTCGTATGTTAGTATCCAATTATATTAATTGTCGTTCCTCATTCTAACTATAATATTTATTAAAATATTAAAACTTATTAAAATATCGAATATTCGAAGATGACTCAATCAGGAAGCTAAAACATGTAATCATCATTATTTATATTTTATGTATTAATTTTGTAATATTATATGATTATTATAGCTGACTCTTATATGCCGTTTCTAATTGTTATATTGTATTTGACATGAAGAGTCCTTGTACTTGTTTTTATATTAAAAAATAATTTATCCTGTAAATGCATACTCTATACATAGCCATAGTCATACTTTATGAATACACTACTTATTTTATACTACAGATTAAACAAGCGCCACTTTTGAGTAAGAAGAATAATTGAAAAGACACTTTCACTTTTCTTTTTTCTATAATGTTATTTCATCAAAATTACATTTTTCAACTTAATATTAGAATATTATTGATACAAAAAAATGTACGCGTGCGTGCGTGCGTGCAAGTAGAAAAAAGGCACATTTTTTATTAGGGTGTAGTCACTAATCCAGCAGGAAAACAAATATCGTGTGTGCCGCAAATTTTAATCAGGTTAGCTTAATAAGGATTCCAACCTATCAGAAACCGTGTATTCCAGTGTATCCAATATCTGATAGGTTGAAAGTCTTATTCCTAATTCCTTATTCCTTCTATTGTGGCTGCACCTTAACTGACGTTGGTGTAACTGGCCCTTTGATTAACCAATCGGAAGAATTTTATTAATTGACCAATTAAAAAATGCTTCGATGCATTTGTAGCATCAAGTGGACCGTAGCCCGGGGTGATATTTCCGACCCCAGTTCAGGGGGTCGATTGTGTATCTCGAAATAAGACGAAAATTACATAAATGAACAAATTTACTAGGAAATTCATAATTCAATTGGTCAACACTTGATGAATTTGTTCACTTTTGTAATTTTTATTTTATTTCAAAACACACAATCGACTTCCAGAACTTGGGATGGAAAAAGAACAGACCTTGAGCACACATAGCTGAGCGTGTTCCTGAACGCACCTGTATAGGTGAGAGATATCAGGTGAAAGCCTTCTCTTATCTCGGAAAAAAAAATCAATAATGTTCCCTGTCACGTGACGTCACACGAAGTGAACGCATGGACAGGTCTCGCGATACTTGTTGATCTTATCCGGTAAGTATCATTTTACAAGAGTTGTACCAGGGGTAAGTACGTTCGATACATGGTTTGTTTCGTTTGTTGAAAGCTCCCCTTATGTCGAATGTTGCGATAACAATTATCGCATCGCGTTAAGTGTTAAATACTGCTGAGTGCTGGTCTATTTGAGAGATAAAAGTAACAGTTGTCATTTAAATAATTTCTGTTTCTCCATATCATTTAACGACGAAATGTACACTGTCATCTAATGACACTACTTCTGAAACGTATATTTGAAACGTCGCATTTATAAGTAATCCACACATATAGAATTTAACGTGTAAATTAATTAATTTTGCTGTTATTTTAATACAGCCTTAATCGATATGGTTTAAATGTGTAAACTATTAACATTCTTATAGACAGTAATTCGTATGTATCTTGTTTTCATTTTTTTTTTCTTGGTATGTGTAAAAACGTAAAGATATCTTCTACCATCTGTTTGTCTTCTGTTTTTCACCTGTTGCTGCTATAAATTAGTGTCTAAAAAAAAGTGTCTAAAATAATAACTCATCGTTATTATTTGGATTTTATACATAAAATGCAAATGTCGAATTATCCATATGAATATGTAAGATGTGTAGGTATGTTTACAACAGCCAGAAATTTGATAAAATTGCTGCGATGACAGAAAATTGACATAAATACAAAATTAGCAGATAATGAAATTTTAGAGATAATGAAATCGACTGAAAGCTAATTTTTGTGGAAAAACAACTATTTTGTTGTTCATTTATTTATTCAAAAAAGCTTCACAATTTAATATATAAGGAATATAAATTATATTAATAACTAGAGTGTATGAATTTTGAAAACTCATGACATAGTTCTAAAAAATTTTTACATCATAATTGAAAATATAATGTGGAAAGAAAGTGAAGTTATAAAACTTGTATATTTATTATCCTAATTAAACATTATTCTAATTCGGAAAATTCAAAAAATGCTCTGAAAAATTACTAATTTTGAGATGTTGGTTATGTTTCTATCAACACAGCAAGTTACGTAGCTTCATATAATGTAAAACATTTATAAAATAAACTTAACATATGCTTGTCTACATTGTAAAATTCATTTTATATATTATTTTACATGCTATATTTATTAATATTCATCAATATTAATCAATATTTTTTTTGTATTTATTAACACTTATCAATATTTTTATCACATGATGAGATATGAAACATTTTTAGATATGGAGCAAATAAGAGAGTCACCCTCTCAAATTCAATCTCATTCTCTGGAAGGTTTCATTCCTCTTCTCACTCTTACTGAGGGATGTGGCGCGCTTCTTATAATCTTGATGGCTGTGTGGACAGGATATTATAGACAAGGTTTCTCATGGAGATCTAATCCGAAACTCGAATTTAACTGGCATCCTTTATTAATGACTATAGGGCTTGTATTTTTATATGCCAATGGTACAATATAAAAGTAAAAAGTTTCCTGCATCACATATATGCTCGTATACATATGATTTACGAATCTGTCTTCTACTTGTAGCCATGCTTCTCTATAGAACGCAAAGAAATGTTCGCAAGCGGCGACTAAAGTTAACTCATGCAGGAATGATGTTATTTATTATATTGTTAGTGGTGATCGCTTTAGTAGCCGTTTTCGACAGTCACAATCTTGCTCCGACTCCTATACCAAATATGTATTCCCTACATAGTTGGGTTGGATTGACTACCGTAATATTATTCTGCTGTCAGGTAAAATCTATGAAACTTGTTTGACAATCTTGCATTCATAGATATATGTATCAATGTATCTTTGTTTACAGTGGGTCGCTGGATGTGTTTCCTTTCTTTATCCCGGATTGCAAACTCCATTACGAGTTTCTTATATGCCATTGCATGTATTTTTTGGCATTGCTGCCTTTGTGGGCGCAATTGCTTCGTGCTTGTTGGGACTTAACGAGAAAGCGTTCCTTGCATTACCGTTAGTAGTGGTAAACTGTTTGTCTAATACGATGAGTAATAAAAATACATTTTTTTCTATTTGAAATTTCAGAGAATATTCAGCTTTTGTCAGTGAAGGGATACTGATAAACTTTATAGGATTGCTGCTCGTATTGTTTGGAGGCTTATCTGTATACTTAGTAACACAGGAACGTTATCGGCGTTTATCGAGATCTGAAGATGAAGTTCTGTTATCCGGTTAATATACGAATTATGATGTGTTGCCAGATTTGTTCATCGATATAAACAACTGGATTACTATTCCAAACTTAATAAGTATTTACTTAATAAGTATTTACTACAAATTTCTTATGTGAGTTTTCTTATGTTAATTTCATAAATAAGATTGATCCAATTGATTGGAGCACATACACAAAAAAAAGAATAAAAAAACAATGGCCGCGTTTATGTCAGACAAAGCTGCCAGCTGTTTTACTGAGTGATAGAACATGATTGATTAGACTGTTGACAAAAATTCTCAATGTTTTTAAGAATTTTTCAGATTTTAAAGGAACATACAAAGATCAGTCTAAAGTATTCAACTAAAATTTTATCAAAATTAAAACAAAATATTTCAATTTATACAAAAAATCTGAAAAATTTTCTAAAGTTATAAAATCTAAAGTTAATACGGAAATTCTGAAATTATATAGAAATTTTGAAAAATTCTATGAAGAATTCTAAAAAAAATTGTATCACAACAAGTAAAAATCAATTGTGTATAACCGCTCAGTAAGCAGCTCTCTAGTTTAGTGAGCAATATTTTATTATATCTTTTTTCATTCTTGTCTACTTTTTGATATCTTAATAAATAAAAAATATATATATATGTTTATAAGTTAATATTTATATAGTAGTTCAGAAGTAATGATTTTTCCGGAAACTATGGTGCTATTATACAATATATATGTAATATATAATTGTTACACAGAATGACAATGTATATTTTGTGGTTTATATTTCTAATTAATTTAATTAACAACTGATTGAAATGTAATATATATATATATATATATATACACATGTATAAATATGTAATATCAATATATGAGATCTCATCACAAAAGTAATTTTAATTTATGAAAATGATCGTTTTCTAAAAGAAAGCAAGGCGCATGCAGAAAGCAAAGTGAATTGATTTATGATCAATATAAATCCAAAATGTTCAAAAAGTCCTTTATTCATTTATCACGCTTTTCAAGAGTGGTCCTTACTCTTTCATCTTTATTCGATTATTTTATTCTATTAAATTATTTTCTAAAAAACAAAGATACAAAGTTCGTTTTTTTTTTATACCTGCACTAGACTACTTTCTCTCACTTTCGCCAAATATCAAATATAAATCTATAGGATATATTTTACTTCAAATTCCAAAGTATATTAGTTCGAATATATAGAAACAGATGGTTCCGTTTGTTCCTTTTTCTAAATCGCAATCTTATTTAAAAAGCGTGAACGAAAACCGGAATCGTGATCTCTAAAAATTAACATTCTCTCTCTCTCTCTCTCTCTCTTATAATAAATAATTAGTCCCTATAAAAATATTTCGTTTCTATTATTATAACAACTCGATCAAAAATGCACTCGCACCGCTCCCAGATACTTCCGCCCTCTGGGCCTGCATTTCCGAACCAATTGACAGCGGTAACGAAAACAAAAAAAGAATGGAAAATAACAAAAACATTTCGCGCCGTCGTACCGTGCGATGTACGCGCGCATATATATCGTGGCCCATTTAACTCGCCCATTTAACCCGACGGAACGGAACACGCCCATTCCGCGCTTATGCAATTGTTAACTGATTGTAAACACCGTCGTGCCAACCGTCGCCGACGACGTATTCTCCGCGAGACGCGTGTATCACGTGTGCGGGTACACGCGAACCGTCGCGTTTTTCGCGACTAAGCATCGCGCATAGCATTATAAGCGTCCCCGAGCCGTCAGAGTCGTCCAGATAAGGATTGCCGCGCGAGCTGATAACTACGGCGCTCTCGGTCCTCGAGACTTCTCTTCCACCTTTCATTTCTCGCACGGAAAGTAATTCGGCGTGAGCGCTCGATAGTGCAGTACAAATAATAAGTCATTCAATGGTTAACCAAATACCTGTGCCGCAGGCCAAGTATGAATTACTAACCAACATACGACAGTGAGTACATCGAAAGTTTCTGCGAAATAAAAGCGCTCGGAATGCGAATGCGTCGCCCTCCGGAGTTGCTTTTATAATCATTTTATAATTAATACATACGAGAGAGAGAGAGAGAGGGGAGGGGGGAGAGATAAAGGAAATTTGTATCGATTTCTCGCGCTACGACAGGCAGTATGTACGTCATCGCTGGCTTTTCAACTTCCCCGCCTCTCGATGCGAAAGGTCATACTTGTCGTTATTTGTATAAACGCGATTAGACTAACAGGTTTCCCATAGCTGATCGTCTTATAGTCGAACAGATTGAATACGATGGTCTGAAACGAAGACTGCTTTCAGACCACGCTGGAGAACGCAGGTCGTTTGCCTCACTTTGTCATTCCTGATTGTCGGGGTGTTGTTTATCACGCGCGCCTGGTTCGGCATACTTCTACTAAAATCTCCGAGGACCAACAGATTCGTCGAGGAACACATTGACGATGCCAAGATTGCTACGTGGCTACGTCGGGCTCGGATGTACGCCGAGTCGACGAAGGAGAATCAGAATGCGGACAGGAACACAAGTGTCAGCGCATCGGAGCAACACCGCTACGATACAACCGGGTAAAAGATTGAGCAGATATGATTTTTTTTTTTTTATCAATACGATTGGAAGACCGTTTATGTTAAATACATTACTTTAGATACGAAGGCGCCACTCCGGTCTGAATGTTAAGAGGTTGAACTACTATGTATATATTCATTTCAACGCAGTCGATCTGAAAAAAATTTTTTTTTTATCCATTTTAGATTTATATTTATCTAGTAAGCAGAGTATTAACATTGGGCTAGCAGTTTATCATTCAGAATAATGCATCAATTGCGTATGTGTTGAAATTGTGTTCTGCAAGAAATTTGTCGACATGGAATATGATCCATTTGATGCTGCAAATGCTTTAAAGCATTCTTTGATTTGTCACTTTATAAAATTCTTTCTTCTGATTAGTCAACGAAGCATTTGTAGCATTAATTGATTCGTATCCCTAATCTGACAGCAGAAATTATTACGGATGTTTTTTATCTTACTAATAAATACCTCAAGTTTTTTGTCATTATTTTACATTTCTGAGAAATATGCCTCATAAGAAGCCAGGATATTTAAAATCAGAACTGATTGGTCGACCCTACTGCTTCACTTTTCCAATTCCATTTTCCGATTCCATTTTCCGTGTCCAGGGACGACACTCTCTCAAATATATACAACTAACCAACTATGAATATTAGTTTTATTTTTTATATAAGTACTTAAAATATGCTTATATAAAAAAATATGATTTATATAAAATTTCATTATGATGCAGAAATTAGTTATTCTAATGGAAATAAATAAATAAACAATATTTATTTATTTTCATTACAGCAGGTGGTAAAAATTATTAGTTTTTATTGAAATAATGTTTTATCCAAGTCCTAAATCGCCGCTGAATTTTTGCTTTTAAATGTGATCTAGAATAATCTAATTTTTCCATTATTTTAAAATTTTGTGTAATACATCTTTAATTATTCTACTGAGTTTTTCTGCATAAATAATTTTAAATACTCTTAAAACGCTTATACAAAAAATTGAGACTTTGGTCAGTATTTTTTAAATTCTAATATTACAACAATATAAAATGACAAATAAAGAAAATAAATTATACCGCGTCCACGGAGAGAACGACCATGAGCCATACATTTTATGATCAGATTGGAGGATTCGAGCAACATTATTTAGTTCCGCATGCATTATTGTCTTGGGGCAAGACAATAATGCATGCGGAACTAAATAACGCACTCGAGTCCTCCAATCTAATATAATAACAATGTGTTACATAAAAATGTGTTTAAATATTATACAACTTTTGCATATCTAGTTTATTTAAAGTACAATATTAACTCATTTGTAAAAATGGGTGAGATACATCCTTAAATATATCTATTTAAATGGAATATATATATATATATATATATATATATATATATATATATATATA